AGGGAGTGAGGGACGGGGAGTGAGGGACGGGGAGTGAGGGACAGGGAGTGAGGGACAGGGAGTGAGGGACAGGGAGTGAGGGACGGAGAGTGAGGGGACAGGGAGTGAGGGACTGAGAGAGAGGGGACAGGGAGTGAGGGACGGAGAGTGAGGGACAGGGAGTGAGGGACAGAGAGTGAGCAGTTGAGGGCTGTTCTTGTTTTCCTGGTAGGTGTCGGGGCCTGGAAGCCACCTGGTCATGCCAGGACCGAGAAGCGGACATGATAGGTGATCATCTGACCAGTAGGAGCAGGAAGGTGACCAGTAGCCCCACGAGCAGGAAAGGCAGCATTGGGAGGGCCAGAGTCAGGGCCCCAGGCCTGGGACCTTGAGCTGCACACAGGCACTGTGTGGGGAGGCTGCGTTGGGGACCAAGCAGAGGCAGGCTGGGTCCGAGGGCCCTTCCAAGGTTCTCCGATGGAGCCATGAGGACAGGAGAACAGACATTGACGGCTGAGGCACATGTACCGGCAGCCGGGCTCCCCGCATGGGGGCGGGGAGGAGATGCCTGTCTGCCAGGGAGACAGAACCTCCCCCAATTTTGCCCCTTTCATGGCCTGGCACCCTGCAGGGGCCGCAATTTGTTTGTGTGTGCGTCCACGTGTGCGTGTGTGCGCTTGTTTGCGTGTGCTTTGTGTGCTTCGTGTGTGTGTGCACTTGCGTGCAGGACAGGCTCAGCTCCTTGCCCTACTCCAGGTTCTGTTTAAACGGCTTTGGAATTCTGCTCCAAGAACAGATGGCCTCAGAGATAAAGCCAATCAGGGACCCGGACGGAGAGCGAGGCCCAGGTGGTTGCCATGGCAGGCTGGGCTGGTGGCGTCTGCTTCTTAGTGGCCACAAGAGCATCCACAAGAGACAGGTCATGAGGGTGCCCCCGCAGAGCCCAGGAGAGAAACACCTTCGCCCGAACACTTTGGCCCCACTGAAGCAAGGACAGAGCTTGGTGCAGCTGCGGGCACGGGCTGGCTTCAGCAAGATCTGGGGACAGCCATGTCCTGGCCACGTCAGCAGAAACCCTCCCTCCCAAGACTCAGTTCTGAGATGCCCAGGCTGGAGCCCGGGACACACTGATCCTGGGGTGGTTCCAGCCACACCCAGCGCTAGAGACCAAGAGCCAGCCACACGCTCTGGGTGTGACAGGAGCAGCTTCCTGGGTGAGCAAGGAGGGAGGGGACAGACCTGGCCAGCCCACCAGTCTCACATGGTGCCCTGGGGCAAGGGCCTCCCCGCCTCCCACCCGCCCCCACCCCCCGCCCTGGCCCAGCTGGGGCCCCGGAGCCCAGCAGTGAGAAAAGGCAGCTGCAGCCCTCAGTGAAGCTGGTAGTGGGGTCAGATCCTGGTGCCAGCTCTCCCATCATCCCAACAAGCATACTAGCCCCACCAAGGGAGCAAGGTAGTCATCCCAGCTGGTCACCTGACCCACGGTTCCAGCCCCTGAGGAAGATGAACACCCCATCTATGCCTAGCTCGTGCACCTCCATGCATGGGGTCCCCCGCAAGGTCAACAGTGTTGTTCCCAACTTGCAGACGTGGCTCAGAAGGGGAAAGGGCCCACAGCTCAGGGCAGAGGTGGGACTGGAGCCCAGGACCATCTGGAGCCCAAGGCGGGATCTGGGCCTTCTGCACCACAAGGAGAGGCCTCAGTGGTGCCTTCCCCAAGTGGGAGTTCACTGGGAGAAAGCTCCCAGGGTGAAAGCCTCTGGGAAGGGAGAGGTCCCACCCTAACTTTTAGGGGAGAAGGAGGGCCAGGGTGGGGTTGGTGTTGAAGCCCCAACTGCCTCACTCTAGTCCCAGCCCCAGAGTGAGCAGGAGACATCTGATGGGAACATAAGCAAAGCCAGAAGGGTGGCGGGCAGCTGGGATGGCTGAGGGGCCCTGGGCAGGTGGCTGAAAGACACATCCACCAGGACAACTAGAGGGAACGCTGACCAGAGGGCCTCCAGGTATTTGGGCCTGGTCAGCCTAGGAGTGCCCAACTGACCAGTGGACCTGAATCAGGCCAGGCCTAACAGCTCTACCCAGGGTCCCAAGGCCACACTTCCCCTGGATTCCAACCCAATTCAAGCTCTAGATATCACAGTCTTCACAGGTTAGAGCAGCTTGGAACCTTGCAACCCTCTGCAGTCCTCCTACCCCCACCACACTCACAAACATGCACACATCCCAGAACCCTGAACCTGCTGATAAGGCTGCGATGAGCCCATCAATAGTCCTGACCTTTCCAGGCCCCAAGTCTGCCATCCAGGAGTGCATGGACGAATGGATGAATGGATGCGTGGATGGATGGATGGGTGGGTGGGTGGATGGTTGAGTGGGTGGGTGGATGGATGTATGGATGGATGGGTGGGTGGATGGGTGGATGGATGGATGGATGGGTGGATGGGGGGGTGGATGGATGAATGGATGGATGGGTGGATAGGTGGGTGGGTGGATGGATGGATGAATGGATGGATAGATTGATGGATAGATGGGTGGATGTATGGATGGATGGGTAGGTATGTGGGTGGATAGACAGATGATGGGTGGGTGTGGATGGATGGATGGATGGGTGCATCAGATTTGCTGGTGCAGATCAGTACTTGAGGGAGGGGCTACTTCAGCTGTGGATACAGGGGACATGGCTCATTGGAGGCCACCAGAGTAACAATCCGCATGCCCCTACATACCTGATCCCCACCACACACATGCACACCAAGAGCCCAGGACACATCCAGGCAAGGCAGCCCCATGCCCAACCAGAGGCCTGGATGACAACATCAACCTCAACCCCAACGTCTGGGCACTGCTGAATCTAGAATGAAAGAGGGGCAGGCCAACAGAACATGGGCAGCCCTGGCCCCAGGAGCACAGGCTGGGGTGGGAGATTCGGAAGAGGCTAACGGAAGAGGACCCAGAGGTGACTGGGAAGCAGGTGCTATGAGCCAGAACCTTCCCCGACCTTCACCAAGGTGGGTAACCAGGACCTGAGAAAATCAGGAGAGTGAGACACCTCTGATCCATGAGGCTCCCAGGCTGTCAGAAGGCAAAGAATTCCAGAGTGGTATCGCAAAAACCGGGGTGCATGTCCAACATTTACATTTTAAAATTCAACCTATTTTAGAGTTGGACTACTCACCAGATAATTGCTGGATTTATAAAAACACTTCAGACACACAGTGACATCAGGGTTTGTGGGTGGCCCTGTCGAGGCTCGCAGTCCTGCCTAGTTGAGCACCACCCGTCTGGAGGGAGCCCTGGAAGTCTTCACAGGAGGCCTTTGTGCAAGTGCAGCCTGGGTGGAGGGGTCCTCCAGGGGCCTGGGCAGTCCATCTCCAGCAGGTGCAGGGCCTGGGTTCCTCCTTACACAAGCTCTTGTAGGCTGTTCCCCATGCCTCCATCCCCCCAATTATAGACCAGGAACTGAGGCTTGGACAGTGACTAAAGGTGACAAGGCTCCAGGGGGAGCTAATACCAAAGGGCCCCAAATACCAGAGCCCACCTCTCCCATCTGGCACAGGAGTCAGGAGGCAGCTCTGAGGAGGTGGCAGGGAAATAAAACCCACATTCCGAGTAGCCATTTTCCCACCACATGTGTTCTGTGCTGCTGGCCCTCCTAGCATGGGCTGCTCACCCCATCCCCACCCCTTCAGCTGCACCAGGCAGGGGCACCTGTATGCAAATCTCACGCAGGGCCCAGGGAGAGGGAGGTTGAGTGGACCAGATATGAGCAGGGCGCTGAAGAGGAGGGCAACGATAGAGAATGTCAGGAAAGTGGTCACGGTGACCATGAGCTGAGCCCCAGCAGGCACCGGCTTACAGGCATCACAGCAGGTTGCCACTGCGTTTCCAGAGGACTGCTTCTACCTGCTTTGGGGCTCAGAAAGGGTAAAGGGCTTTTCTGTGGTCCATCGAATTGGCCACAACGGAGCCATGACACTGGTACCCCATCCTGCGTCAGCCAAGGTGGACTTGCTGGAAGCTCGAAAACCCTGCCGATGTCCCACAGCATCATACAGAGCGCATGCAGCACCGGAGCCTGGAACAGACTTGCATGTGCACACACAGGGGTGCAGGAGGTGGGGCCAGCAGATATGCAGATTCCTGAGACCACACAAAGCCCTGGGATCAGATTCAAGGCGGCTGAGATTCAGCTGGACATCCAAGGTGCACAGACGGACCCCTCACACCTGACTCTGAGGGGCACCCAGAAACATGGGGCATTGCCTGCCACCAGCTTCTCAATCAAAGAAGACTCCCAACACACATGAGGCTCCAAATCAACAGGCAGGCTGCAAACTCCCACCACACCGTAGCTTCCCTTTGTGCGACCAAACCTTTGAACCTTCGTCACCGATGTTTGCAAAAAGCTGCTTTCTCCCAGTGCCACGGAGAAGGTGAACAGCAAACCAGCAGAGGAGACGTATCCGTGACTGGTGCTGTAGGTTGCAGTTGCCACCTCTACCTTCAACTTCATCCTGGAAGCTCCTGGCAGCCAACAAGCATCCTGTGGACAGAGGGGCTGGGGCTGGCCGGGGCCCCTCCTGCAGGGGCGGGCTGCCATGTCCTCTTCTTGTCTTGACTCCAAAGCCAATTCTGGACTCATCCTCAGCCCAGGCCCTGCCACCCAGGGGACCGAATGGCCTGCCGTGCCCACCCTCCCCAGCAGCCACCCCAGCCTCCTGCCTGGGTGTTCTTGAGCTGCGACTTCCCAAGAAGGCCGGTTCTGAGCAACCTGAGTGCCTCAGGGCCACTACCCTGCAGTCCCCAGCATTTACCAGCCTGGAACGTGGAACAACTTGGACGTTTGGGTGTGTGGTTGTCTCCCCCGACTGAGGCACAAGCTCCATGGGCGAGAGGGTTCTAACCCTGAGACACTTGTTAAGTACCTGTTGAATGAAGGAACAGACTGTCTCCTGAGCTCTCCCAGGGCAGATTGCCTCACGTCTTGCTCAGGCCCCCGAGTGGCTGCCCACGGAGACCCTTCCCCTCACTCCTGTGGCTGGGGCCCTATGTCCAGCTATGGCTCCCTGTATCTCCCTCTGCGTGCCCCCGCCACAGCCCTGGCCTTGCAGTCCCCCGTGCTGAGGCTCTCCCCGTCCCACGGCTGGTCCCTTCCCTCCTCGAGAGGCCTTCCTGACGCCAGTCCAGCCGCCCCAGACGCTGCTCTCTCACATCCTCACACTCACCCCAGCCTTGCTGACCCTGGACTGTGTGTCGGCCTGACTGTTCTCCATGACCCCCTCCACAGAGCAGGGCCCACCATTCCTCCACCACCTCCGACCCAGAGCAGAGCCTGCCCATTCTCCACACTGCACCCGGACACCAAGAAGAGTGCTCGCCTGCTTCCTGAATGAATGAAGACGAAGACAGGGAGGTGCAGAGTTCACCTGCTTCAGGGAGAGTTGCTGTGCATCATCTGGGTCTCTGTGCCCCTCATGGAGCCAAGAAAAGGGATGGGGAAGCCACCACCAGACAGAAGAAACTCTGTAGCAGCCCCTCACAACCTGCCCCAGCTGCCCCAGACGTCTATGGACCCCGTGCTCAGTCACCCACGTTTCAGCAGGCAAGAAAGTGGCAGACAAGGTGGAAACCATATTCTGTGGTCAGAAACGGGAGCACTGCTCTGGGTGTCCGCCTCCGAAGCTGCCTGATCAGCATGTTCTGCCCACTCCCAGCTCTCAGGGCACAGAGCACAAAGCCAGGCTCGCCGGGGAGTGGGGACACCAGCAGCCGTGTCAGCCACAGGAGGGGCTGTGCTACAGCAGTAAGACGCTTCAGCACTGACTGCCAGCCTGACCCCATGGTGGCCTCACGCTGACCACCCTGCAGGGGACAGAAGACAGAGTTGCCCTGTGGTGAATCAGTCATCTTGGGGGCCTAGTGGCTGGGCTCCCAGGGCCCATCCAAGCATGCTGGAGCCCCAACCCAGCCAAACTTTGTCCTTGAACCAGAGTTCAGAGGTGAAAGTTCTCAGCTCACTGGGACCCTCCTGACCCTAACCCTCACCCTAGCCCCACCCCTACAAGAGGGCCCCGTGTAGACCAGCCTCGATCAGTTGCCTAATCCTGACCCCACTCTACCCGGTCACTTGGCCTTTTGACCAGAAGTTCTCCCAAAAGTCTCCTGGACTGTGTGGAGTCTGTGGGGGATTGGCCCACCAGGGACCTGGCTCCAGGGAGGACAGCACAAGAGGGAGCATTCGAGGTCATGCTCCATATGAGGCTGAACCCAGTACTGCCACCCACTGGGGGGAAGTGACACTTGCCCATAAATCCCCAGCACACCCACAACAGAGCCCCTCCCCTTCTCAGGCCAGGAGCCCATCCACCCAACTCCTGGGTCGCAGAGCACAGAAACAGGGCAGCAGACCCCTGGTCTTGCATAATGACCGTCTTTGACAGCAGCTCCCAGCAGCCAGCGCCAGCCCCTTGCCCATGTGCACTGACTCCCTCCAGCAGCCTGTGAGCAAGATTCCAGAATCCCCCGGCCACAGACTGGAAACTAAGCCCAGAGAAGACAGCCAGGAGTTGAAGCCAGGGCTTCTGCCTCGAGAGAACACACTTCCATTCCTGCGCTCCCACCGTCTCAAAGGAGAACCCACAACAGGGAGAAGTAACAGCAAGTGGCAGAGGCAGAGCTGCACAGTGGGGCTGTTTGTACATGCGTTGTGTGTGGACACGTGTGCACATCTGTGTGCACATCTGCACGTGCACTATGTGTGCACACCTGTGGTTACATGTCTGTGTATACACATCTTGTACAAGTGTACATGCACATTTATGTGTGCATGTGTGTGCGTGCCTGCAAATGTGCACATCTAGGTGTGCACATGTGTGTGTGCACGCATGTCTGTGAGTGCAACTGCACACATGTGCACCCACCATTCCTGCCCCCATGAAGGGAATGGGGCTAAAGAAAGCACAAGAGCTACAGATCTAGCCCCACAACCACGAGAGGGTGCCATGTGGACCAGCCTCTATCAGCTCCCAGCTAGTGGGTGTGCCTGGGTACAGGCTGAGGTCCAGCCCTCCCCACCCATCCCCACTGGTGTCCACTCCCTCTCCACCCAGGGCCCAGCATGTTCCCTACATTCCCCTCCTCAGAGTAAGAGGCCTTCCCTGAGGTGAGCCATGCGTGTCCCCCCGACAGAGGCTTCTTGAGTCGCCTCCTCCCACAGGCCTTTGCACATACTGGCCATAGCTGGGACACTCTCCAGTGCCCACTGCTGAGGGGACAGGCTGCATCTCAAGGTCTCAGCTCCTTCAGAGGCCTGTGGACCTCTTGGCCAGTGGTTAGAGCCCTCTGCTCTGGATGTGGTCCCCTCACTGCACTCATCTTCCTGTGCATAGGCATGCCTCTGTTTGTGCCTCTCCTGCTCGGCTGGGAGCCCTGCGAGACACGCATCTGGTCTGCTCTGCGCAGGTGTCTGTCCTGAGCCCAGCATGACCTGCATGAATACCTGCAGTGCCTGCTGGGTGTCTCCCTCAAAGATGAGCCTCAGGGGCATCCACAGGCTCACCCACAAGCTACCTGCAGTGACTGCCTTCTGCAGATGATGATCCAAACTGTCTTTATCTTCCGGCCTCTCTTTGGTGGTTTTCACAGTTATCCTACAATGTAGGGCTGTTACGTTAGAAATTGCATCATTAGGAAGTGAAAACTTGTAATGGAAACAGAGAGCACCAGAGAGGGAACATCCTGGCCATTAAGCATCCTTGAGGTCCCTCCACCTTCCTCTGGTCTCATCCTGCACGTGTACAGAAGCCCTCAGTGGAGCTGGGAGTGGGGGTCAGGAAGCAGCTCCTCCCTACCCAGAATGTCTTCAACTCCAGGAACGAGTGCACAAGATCAGAAAGGAGGTTTCGATGAAGGGAAATGTCTCCAACATGAAGAGTTACCCTGGATTTGAGATGATGCCCTTTTAGGTGAGGGGCATCTAACACACTTTCTGTTTTGAACAGACAGTAACATAAGTTCGTAGCTCTTTTTTTTGAGGAAGATTAGCCCTGAGCTAACTTCCACCACCACTACTCCTCCTTTTGCTGAAGAAGATTGGCCCTGAGCTAACATCTGTGCCCATCTTCCTCTATTTTATATGTAGGACACCTGCCACAGCACGGCTTGACAAGCAGTGTGTATGTCCTCGCTGGGGAACCCCAGGCTGCCACAGCAGAACACGTTATCTTAAAGCTGCACTGCCGCCAGGCTGGCCCCTCACAGCAGCTCCGTGGGTGGTCCAACCACTTCTAATGGACTTTTACTGGGTAGTGAGGTCCACAGTTCTGGAGCCCACTGCCTCATACCCCTCGGCATCCCTTCCTTGGGAGACTCTCCTGGGTGCACTCACGTGCTCAGTGGCAACGTGAGACATGGCTACCTGCGTGTGCTGGAGTTCAGTGTGATGGGGTCCAGGGAAGGCTGCCACGGGGCGTGGCCATGGACAGCCAGAGCAGGACAGGGAAGGTTGGACACAGGTGTCAGTTTAACAAGTGGGCTGGTCTCCTTCATCTCCTGCTGTTGAGGTGCAAACACCTCCAGTGCCCCCCTCAGACCATTTCAGCTGTCTACAGAGGGCCGTGTCGGCCTGCCGTGCTTGGCCCCGTGATGCGTGAGGGCATGGGAAGGTGTCCCTGCAGAATCAGGCTTGCACCTTCCTTGGCTAGAGAACAGCTGGGGCTTTCCCCTCCCCCTGCCCATGCCCCGCCCCTCCCTACACCCACTGACAGCAGCACCACCTGTCCTGTGCACCCCTGTCAGGCCCCATCACTTCAGGACAAATACACAGGCCTCCACCTGCTGGCAGGACCCCCTTCGGGCCTCAACCCATCCCCTTTCTCCCCTGAGCTAAGCCACATTCAGGTTTGCTCCCTCCTACCTCCCAGGCTTTGCCCTACCAGCTCCTTCCCCTGGATCCTCCTGCTAAGCCCTCTCTGGGAAGCTTCCAGATAGGTCAGGGTGTCCTTGGAGTTCTCTGGGCCCCTGGGCCCCTCCTCCTGGTAGCCCTGATCACAGATGGAATTGCACAAGTAATTGTGTAATCATTTGTCCAGCATCCAACTCCTCAGGGAGAAGATAAGGGGCAGCGTGGGTCTGTCTTACGCAGCGCCCAGCTCAAGGCCTGCTCACAGTTCCAAATCAGTGTGGATGAATGAAGGAAGGAAGGACACTGGTAGGACTGCTGACACCCCCAGTGCACACATCTGAGGGAGGCTGCACTGGTGGGGGATCTCCCAGAGAAGGATGCGAGAACAGGCCTTCTTTGAGAGGCTGGGGGAGTGGGGAGGGGCAGGGCCGGAAGGCTTGGGGAGGGGTGGGTGGGTCCCGATACAAAGGGCTCTGTCTGCAAAGTTGGGCACTGCACCTGCCCTGCTCCCCCTCCATCTACTCGCCTGGAGGAGGGGCCCAGGCCTCTGACCAGGGGGTCTGCAGCACAGAGAGGTCACCTCCTCTAAGTGGCTCTGGAGCTGGCTCAGAAAACCTTCGCCACATGCAGGGCACAGGGCTGGCACCTACTCACCCTGGTGTGCAGAGTGCAGAGGCTTCCTTCTGAGGCACAGATCCCCATCTCATGGAGGGGAGCAAGGGGTACCAGGCTGGGGGTCGCTGGAAACCACAGGGGGGGCAGAGACTGGCACATTTCCCCCACCCTAGAAAACTGCAGCAGACTCCTTCCCTCTCCCCAGAGATCACAGAAGTGGGAGCAGCTGTGAGCAGGAGCATCACAGACAAACTCACCCACACCCCGAGGGCAGGGACTGAATCCTCCTCTTTCTCCCTGCAAGGGAGGTCAGGGAGAGGGAGGGAGGGAGACAGGCACGGATGGGAGAGGGAGTGAGGGAAAGGAGGGGAAGGAAGAAGGGGGTGAGACAGAGGGGGAAGCGGAGGGGGAGGCGCAGAGAGGAGGGGCTGGCTAGAGTCACGGCCCTGAATTTGCACCCGGCACCCTGGCTCAGGGGCTGAGCTTCTAACCAGCATCCTTGCTTTGCCTCCTCTACGAGCAAGCCCAGGCCCAGGGTCTCCGGGGTAGCGGGTTATCCTCTCCTTGTCCCCTGCCCCTGTCCCATCTCAGGGCCTGTGTCTCCAGGTCTCTCTCCTGGGCTGCCCACCCTCCCCTCTGCAGGCCCTGGAGAGAAGGTCGGGCCAGAGTGGGATCTCCAGGAGAAGCAGGACAGGCCTGGGTGGGAGACAAGGGGGACGGGGCAGGCGGGGGCACGAGTGTCTCTGCACAGCCTGGCACTAATTCTCCCTAAGTGCTTTAAGCTTGTACTAATTGAACTGATTGAAAACAGAGTCTAGGGGGAACGAAGGAAGAAGATGTTGTGAGACGTCAGCGGCGCATCCCCCAGCCTGAGCCGAAGCCCCTAGGCTGCTCAGAGCCTCAGCCTAGTGGCTCTTTGTGTCCTGACGCCAGACCCAGTCCAGCCCCTGCCAGGCTTGGAGTTGGGACTGGTGGGCAGAGGGGGAAGGGACCAGACTCAAACCCAGGGAGTGTCCAGGCCCAGGACAAGACAGAGGCAGGGGTGACTGTGGGCAGGACAGGCCACAGTCTCCCTTACACGTGTGGAATCCACAAGCAGATCTGAGGCGCCCCCACACACACACCGGGCCTCTGGGCTGCATACAGCCCAACCTGCTGGTCAACTGGTCCACTGGTCCACTCAGCAAACTGCAGGCCCAGGGCTGAGCACAGGGGTCCCAGGGCCCCCAGATTCCCACAGCCCTCTGTGTGCCTGCTGCACTTCAGTGCAGTTATGACAGCTCTGTTACCCAACAACTAGGAGCCCAGAAAGCAGGCCTGAGCCACATCCTCCCCTGGACCCCAAGAGAAGGGGCCCGGAAACATTTGGGAAGGAGAGCAGTATGAATGACCCCTTACCAGTTCAGGATGCCCACACAGGCACAGGTTTTTCTTTCTCCAATCAGTATGCAAGCGTCCAAATCCTCTATTACTACAAAGCCTACTATCTCCTTCTTAAGCCTGCCCTTCCAACACGCACACGCAGTTGTCCCAAACAGCTGGGGGCTTACTCAGTCCCCAGAGGCCCGTCCTGTGGCCCCCCCCCGGGTGGAGAGCAGCAGAGCCCCACCAGTGTGTGACCAGTGCTGCTCCGGTCATGGCCACAAGGCGTCATGATGTCCAAGTGCTGGGTGAGAGGTCTGTTCCACCCAGGGGATCGACCAGTTCACACTCCACATTGCTTCAGCTCCACTTGGGCTCACTCTGTGGCCAGCCTGCACAGGACACGTGGGAAGGAATGGACAAGAGCTCCTGAGGGGCCCGGCCCAGAGAAGGATTGATGGCATGTCCCGTACACCAGAGGTGGTGAAGGCTGAATAAAGAAATGAATGAAGGTATGAACAGATTGGAGACCTCCCTCAACATTTCCAGGCAAGCTGAGGGGCTATGATAAAGGTGAGGAGAGAGGGAGGCAAGGCTTGCCCTGGGGGCCATAAGGCTCAGGAGCCAGAGAAGGAAGGGCAGTCGGGACAGGTCAGCAGGGCTATCGTGCAGGGCCTCCAGGGTCAGGGCTGGTCATGAGGAGCCCCGACTTAGAGCATGGGCAGCAGGACAGAGCAGGGCTTGAACCGGCTGGGGAGGAGGGATGACCCCCCCCCAGGAGGTGAGTGGGCACAGCCTTGGAGCCATGGTGGCCTGGAGGACAGCTGCAGGGGGAATCCTTACAAACAACAGGGTTTGGGAAGTGGGAATCCTGGGAGCACGGAGAGAGGTGGCTGGATAATGAGCTGATTGGCAAATGAGTAAACAGCAATTGCTTGATGAAAAAATGTTTACTGTGCAATTAGCAGCTGTGCCATAAATAAAAGTTTCACTGTTTATTATAAACTTGTTGAGCCACAGGAAACGACTCTCCATGATTGAGCCAGCCTTTAACACTCTGTTTGCTTCATGAACCGCCTTCTATATGACGCGTAATTAAGCGTGCTCTCAGCTCTGCAGATCTCCAGCCCTCTCTACCCCATATCTCTATGCCCAGCCCTATCCCGACCCAGTACCTGACCCCTGAAGCCTGGATGGAGAGGGCCTGACCCCTCCCTGGGCCACACGTTGTCTCTACTGCCCAGAGTCTGCGGCACGCTGCAGGTATGTGTCCTCACCTGAGCTCCAGGTTTCCAGAAGTGTCCTCCTGACTCATTGTGACCTGCTCAGCACCAGCCCACCTTGAGGCCAGAAACCTAGTCCTGCCTGTCCCCTGGCCCCTGGTGTCTGGCCGCTGGCCCCCCCAGATGCCTGTGCCCTGGCCTCTCTCCCTTCTCTTCAGCTCATCCTCCTGCCAAATCCTGCCTGGAACCCTTGAAGTCCTCCCTCTTCCCAGCCCCACCAGTGCCTGCTCGCTCCCTCCACCACCTGGGGGTAAACTTCCTTCAGGATGCTACCTCCTCATTCCATCCCCCACAACCTTTTTTTTTTTTTTTTTTAATTTTTAAGTGTGAAAATGTTCAAACAGATGGTGGGGAACACTCAGGCCTTCGCCATGCTCCCCTGAGGGATCATCTCTGAGATGGGTGCGTATCATCTCTCTGCATGTTTTCATAGTTGTACTATCTACATACACATCTAAGAACAACACATGACGTTCTTTGCAGATTACATTAATGTGATCACGCAGAGCCAAACCCTTTGCAACTTGCTTTTATCTCTCAACATTATTTTTGAGGTGAATCAGAGCTGATCTGGCTGATTTTAACCTGTGTGGCATTACCTAGAATGAATAAGCCACACCTCTGTGTTTTTCTGCTGAGGGATACCCAGGTCCACTTTTTTGTCATGACAAGTACACTTTCAATGACCCTATCTTCTTGCCTCTGGCTGCTGTGGATGACCCTGGGTGTCACAATGACCCTGGGGAACTCAGATGACCCTAGGGGACTCAGACGACCCTGGGGGACTCGGATGACCCTGGGTGCTGCAGATGAGGCTCTCCAGTGCTCATGTTGGTCACACTCCTGCCACAGCATGAAATTCACCACTTCACATCCACTCACCCATGCTTGGGGGATCCGAGTTTTCAATTTTGCCACCCTCTTGTGTTTCCCAGTTACTAGTGAAGTTGGGTGTCTTTTCATACGATTTGGGCCAGTGGAGAAAGCCTCAAGACAGGCGGAGGCACCACACCCTCAAGCTGCCAGTGACTGGCCAAAGACCCAGAACCTGAGGACGTCACGAGGGCGGGAGAGGCTTTTCCCTGGTCTTGGTCCCTGAGGATTCTGGGCCTGGAACATCCTCCATGCCAAATAGCCCTGGTGGTGCCCTTCACACTGGAGGAAACTTGCTGGCTATGCCGCACCCTCCACCCCACCAAGCCACAAGGGTGGCACCAGGGTCCCTGCTGCTCACAGGTGGCTCCACACCTGCAAGGCTTCTTCTGGGGACAGACCGAGGCAACATGCATGGCTCCCCAAAACCACTTCCCCACCTCCACTCTGGAAAGCTCGTCTCTGCACGTCCCATGCAGCCCTTTTCTTCTGTTCAGTTGTGATTATTGTTGACTTGTAAGCATTTCCACCACATTTAGGGAGTAGTTGGCGTCTCACAAATGTCCACACCCAGCTGGGGCTCCCACTTTCCTTCAGTTGTGACTCTTTGCATCTTCTCCCCTAAACTGGCCCACACTCGCTGCTTATGCAGTTCCCCTGCCCACAATGGGGGTCCCTGGGCCTCCCCCCTGCAGCTGCTTCATAGCTCTTAGCTGCAACACACTTCAAACATGTTTTGACTGTTTTTTAGAACTCCTTTTCATCATAGAAGGAAGGGGGTGATGTTGCCAGCCTGGAAAACAGGAAAGAATAGCATCTTTTTGGTGCCCTGTGTGTGTTTTCACACCGCTGTCCATACGCACACTCACCCAAGGCCGCTGCGCAACGCCAGGTCTTCCAGCTCTTCCGGTCGATGTCTGTCTCCCCCTCCAGCCAGGGGTGCCTGGCAGAGGAGAGAGGGTGAGGAGGAGTCAGCAGAGCCCTTGGAGCAGCAGACTCTGCAGAACTCTCTGTGAAGAGAGACAGAAGCTGACAGGCCCTGGGTTTACTTCTTAAGGACACACTGCTGAGCGTGTTTGAAGTCCTCAGGGCAGGACTTAGCTCATGGGGAGAAGGAACGGTATGAGGGCCTTCTCACTGCCCCGGCCCCACCCTGCCTCCTGCACGGCCTTCCCACGGGCAGTCGCCTGTCTGGGATGTTGTTCCCTGCCCCATCCTAACCAAAGGAGCTCAAGTGTTTCCACCTTGCACTGACCCTCCCACAGCCACCCCCGACAGCCTCAGCCCCGTAATTGCTCTTGCTCTCCCTTCTGGGCATTGGCACTATTCCGAGTGAGTGAGCCTATCTGCCCCAGACTGTGGCTCTATGAGCACAGGGGCTGCATCTTCTTGTAAGTAAACACATCTGTCTCCAGTGCCAAGTGGCTACCTGGCCTGCAGGTGCACCTGCCTTCTCCTCTGTATGGCATCCTCTGTCTCGGGTGTGGGGACAGCTGCTGCCTCTGTGCCAGCCCACGCCTCCCCCAGACATTGGAGGAAGGCCCCCAGCACCTGGTCAGAGGGCCGCCAAGCCCGGCACCCACCAAGCCTGAGAATGACGGCAGAAAGGTAAGCTGTCCCTTTAATTTCTTCCCAGGCAAAGCAGACAGACTACAAAAACAACATTTTAATTTAAATTCCGATTCCACCTTCATTCAAGGAGCAGCTCTGAGCAGGGATTTCATTAAAGGCTTTAATAGATTTTATAGGACTTGTCACATCCGGAAAGGTGATGGAGCAAATGCATTTTCTCTGCTTTCAGAATTTCAACAGCGGCTCGGAAAACAAATTTGCCATGAAAATGCAGAGCAGCCTAGCCTTGTACAGACAAGGAGAAACAAGCCTCACTCCAGGTAAACTGGGTGAGGTGACTCCCCTCCCTCCCCACACACCAGGGCCATGGCCACCAAGGAGCTCAAAGGATGGGCAAGGCCCAGGGTGGAGCAGGGGAACAGGTGGCCCGGGGGCCCAGGTCCAGCGGCGCCTTGCAGACCAGGCAGGACACCTCACCTGGGAGTGGGAGGGCGTGCTGGGTGGGGCTGCCCTCTGTGTCCACGGCTCCCTTGGTTTGGGGTAGGGGAAGCAGCTTGAACTTTGACTTGGCTTCCCTCTCTCTTTCCTGCAGAACCCCAGCGCCTCAGACCCAGGGAGCAGCTCAGCCACATCAGCAGCAAAGACACAGGCAGGTGACCAGCCCGTTGAGATTTGCCCAGCCTGTCCTGGTGTAAAACTGAGGGTCCCAGCAACCCCTTCATCCAGGAAAACCAGGGGGCCTGGAGACAAGCAGCAGGTCAACCCCTCAGCCCACTCCCACACAGTCTTCTTGTGTCACCCTCAGCACCCCTGCATACCTGCCTGCGTCCCCATGGATTCCCCAAATTTAAATTCCACAAGCAGAGTGAATCTCCACCCTGGGATCCACCCCCCCAACCCCGGCCACCCCGGACAGAGCACTCACCGTCTCCCAGGGCTGGGTCTCCTCTGGTCCTGGATGCCTCCCACCAGGAGGAACATCCCACCAGCTTCCTTGCCTCCCCGCCTTCTCCTCTGACCTGGGCGTGGACCGTGGGGCCCCCTCCGCACACATCGCATGCTGTCCAAGCTCTGCTTACTGCCATCTTTAGTAGCCCTGGGCAGCCCCCACCCCCGCCCCAGGATGCCCTCGCAGCAGCTCCCACAGGACGACTGCCAAGCCCCTCTCCCTAGGCCGTCTGCACTGGACCCAAATTCCCACTCCCTCTCCCCAAGTCTGCACTGTCAAGGCGCCACCGCAGGGCACCTTCCCACCTGGGCACTGAATTTCTAAGTCATAACAATTGTTTAGGGAACCACCAAATCAGGGCACCAAAAACAATTGTTCTAAGAATTCGGCATTTTTCTTTTTGCCCAAAAGTTTCCAAATAGTCATCCTGGGGAAAATCATCAGTGTTTTGGACTTTGTTACACTGATTTATGGTTTAATGTTTTTATGTGGAATTGTATGTCAAGAAGCATCATAACTGTTTGGTAAGGCCTTGACACATATGTGCCGAATGAATGAATGAAAAAATGAATGAATGAAAGAGGGTGCACATGGTGTCCTCACTCAGGCCGTTAGGAGGAGGATGGGGACCCTGCACACACTCCCCATCCCCGCAGACCTTCTCCGTGCAGCTCCACATCCCCAGATCAGCCCCCCACCACCGCAAGACCAACACCGCGCACTCTGCATTGCTCACCAGGGACAGCCCTGGGCTGGAAAGACAGATCGTGGCCTTGTCCAGACCAGCTCATGGCAAGCTCATCCCACACAGGCCCTTCCCTGTGGCCTCCAGAGCCCTCTAACCCTAACTCCACTCTGCAACCTCGGCGGGCTCTGTCCAAGCCCCCGGGGAGACCCTCAAAGAGCCCGTTCCCAAGGCGACGTGTGGATCCAACAGCTGGTTCACATCCCGTGCTGGACACATCCGGCATCCGGCACATCTCCTTCTCCCCTTCTTTGCCCTGCCCAGAGCCGAAAGTGACCTGCAGATGCACCTGCCAGCTGCCGGCCTCCTGGCTGCTGGTTGGGACTGGCCAACGAGGAGCCCCATGTTCCCCAGCCCCACCCTGCAGGATCCCAACCCTCAGGTCTCAGCTGTCATTGGGCAGCTTCTTTGCATCCTCTCAGGTCCAAGGGTAGACCCCGACTTACCCTTCGTAGTTTCTCTACACCCTGCCCACACCTCGATCCCTTTATTCAGCTCTCCCCAAATTTCCCAATTTGAGGGTGACATCTGCCTCCTACTTGGACCCTAACTGACACAGATCCCTAACTTGGATCTTATACCAAAATAAATCCTAAATGGGTCAAAGACTTAAACGTTTAAAAATAACCATAAAAGTGCTAGAAGAAGGCATGGGGAGAATATTACGAGCTCACGAAGCCCAAACCATGAAAGATTAGTTACCTCACATCATAAGAAATTTCTACACAGCAAAACTACTTTAAATGAAGACAGAAGTCAGATAACAAATGAGGAAAAATATTTGCAAGTATTTAGGGATAACGCTTTGCTACGTACAAATCAATAAGACGAAGTCCAACAACTCAATAAAAAAATGGGTTGAGGATATAAACAGTTTACAGAACGAGGGGCAATACAACTTTTAAACATATAAGAAGTTGTTCAACCTGACTCATGTAGGGAAAATGCAATTTTAGCTGCAGAGTCTCTCTTTTAAACCTCTTTGGTTGGCAAAGATCCCAAGGTTTCCTAACACGGATATGCTGGGAGGGTGTGGGGACAAAGCACTGTACCCACTGCTGTGGGGCGGGCATTGGGGGGAGCTCTGTAGAGGGTGATTTGACAACAGATCTTTCAAAGTTTAAACTGCACACATGCTTTAGCCCAGCACTTCAGGAGTCTATCCTAGGATGTGCTCGTCGCTGGGAAATGCACATGTTCAAAGACATCTTTGGCACCGTTGACCAGGGAAAAAAGGTTGGAAACAACCTAAATGTCCATCAGTAAGGGACTAGATAGCCCCGCACCATGCTTAGCCTCTCCCCGCCACGGCGCTACATGGACAGGCGGGGCGGCCACGCATAAAACCACAGTGCTCTGTGGCCGCCAAGAGGCACCAGGCTCCTCCTGTGCTTTCTTCCCTTTGAACCATCTGCATGTATGACCTACTCCGCCTCCTCAAAAAAGGATAAATAAAATATAGTAAGATATTTAAATACACATTTTTGAATGCCCAGTCCTATTGCCAACCCCAGAGATTCTGACCCTGGGGCCTCGGGGTGGGAACAACTCCAGGGATTCTGAAGGGTCAGGGGTTGGGGCTGGGGCAATAGGTTGCCCCTCCTTTGGATGTTGGCCCTGTGGCGAGTCTAGTGGGAGCATGCTGCTGACTCCCAGAAAGTCGCAGCGCCCCACAGACAGGGGGCCCCCCAACTCCCTCAAGAAGCCCTGGGAGCCATCCCAGTGGGCAAACTGGAGGAGACTCTGCCACCGCTGGCGGATGAGGGAGGAGACACAGTCTGGGGATGCAAGTGGGGTCCTGAAGACCCTGTTAAAGCCGGGGGTCACGGGTGGCGCTCTGTGTGGTACGGGGCTTGCTGTGAGGGTCCACAGGGGCACACACTGGTGATCTGAATGTGTCAGTGTGTTTCTTGTGCTTCAGCTAAACATAAAGGATAAAACCCAGTGCCAGGCCCCTCCCCGACCTGCCTGCAGTGGGACGGTTAACATGATCCACAGGCCCTTGAAACAAGCCGTCAGGCCCTTTCCAACAAGGCCGTGGATCAAGACAGGGGCCCTCGGAGAGAAATGTGGCCTGTCACCCCCCCACCAGCTCCCAGGGCTCCCCCAGCACAGGCAGAACTCAGGCCTGGGGCCATGAGGATGTGCAGTGAGGAGGGTGTGACAGGGGCCTGGCCAAGGAGGACACAACCCCACCAGGGCACCTCCACCTGGGCTCAGGGTTGAGTTTCAGCCCCACAATCATGGCTTGCCCCACCTGCCCTGGCCCAGGGCCCCAGCCTCCCACTCTGCCCAGAGCGTGGGCCCAGACAGAGGCCTCGGAGCAGCGGCATGTGGATGTGGTGACTGGACAGCCCACACAGTCCACTCTGAGACCTGCATCTACACCACAGGGTCTAGACTGTGGTCCATCTACACTGCAGCCAGCACATCAACACTGCAGAGGGTCCTCTCTGCACTACACTCAGTGTATCCGACCTGTAATGCACACACAGCGGAGTGCATCCAGCCGCAATGTGTCTACACTGCAGCCAGCACATCAACACTGCAGAGGGTCCTCTCTGCACTACACTCAGTGTATCCGACCTGTAATGCACACACAGCGGAGTGCATCCAGCCGCAATGTGTCTACACTGCAGCCAGCACATCAACACTGCAGAGGGTCCTCTCTGCACTACACTCAGTGTATCCGACCTGTAATGCACACACAGCGGAGTGCATCCAGCCGCAATGTGTCTACACTGCAGCACACTCGCCCCCAGGGCATCTACCACCTTGTGATCCATCTACACTGCAGCATGTCCACAAACACATGTGCACACACACATGCACACATCTGGAGCCAGGACTGCCAGAACCACTTCCACTGCCGTTCGTGGACTGAATGATAAGAGTCAATGATCCAGGGCAGATGCACTAAGGCTCCACCTTCAACACAAGGGGGTCTTCCACATGACCCCAGCCCCCGCCCTGGGCCAACCTCTGCCAGGAGCCTCTGCAGAGCCGAGCGTGGCTGCACAGATACGCACCGTGTTCTCGGCCGCAGGAGTTAGAACTAATACAACAAGTAAGACAAAATCTTTGATGTGAGGGTCATGACTTTACCTTCAAAAACTTATCCTTTAACTTTTTCTAGAATGAGTTGTTTTTCAAAAGCCTCCCACTGCCTTTAGGAAGAAGTGCAAACTCCTCTCCATGATCCCCCAGGCCCGCCTCCCACTGGGCTCCTTTCCTCAGGCCTGGGACACCCCTCCCATGCGCACTGCATGCGTTTCTTGGGTCCATCCTAACAAAGTGCCACAGCCTGGGCAGGGAGGGAAGTACTTAAAACAACAGAAATTTATTCCCTCACAGCTCTGGAAGGCAGAACTCCAAAATCAAGGTGTCAGTGGGGCCAAACTCTCTCCAAAGGCTGTGAGCAAGAGTCCTTCCTCACCTCTTCCAGCTTCTGGTGGCCCCAGGTGTCCTCTGTCTGCCTCCGTCGTCACCTGGCATTCTCCCTGTGTCTTCTGTGTCTGTGTCCAAATTTCCCTCTTCTTATAAGGACCCAACTCCAGTATGACCCCATTTAACTACTCACATCTGAGAAGACCTGATTGCCAAATAAGGACACATTCACAGGTGCTGGGGGTTAGGACTTCAGCACATCCTTTTTGCAGACAGAATTCAACCAACAACACTCATCAGTACAGAAACCAGTAGAATGTTAGAACCCAGTTCAAAGGAGAATCCAAACCACAGATGCATACATGGGCAATCAAGAGTCCTGAAATGCATTTGTAGGTAGATGTAAAACTGGTCAATACCCAAAGAGCAATCACTGATTGCTTTCCACTGCATGAAATTCTACGAACAAGAATTGTTTGCATTACTATCAATTTCCTGCAGTTATAGAGCTATCAAATAGTTCAAAGATAATAAAAAACAGGAAATCTGGAAGGATGAGCCAACAGGGCACCCAATAAACTTTTTTTGACATTTCAAAGTCTTTCGCAACTTATCCTGACAAAATGTCAAACATACACAGAAGTAGAGAGAACACACGTGGACATCACCAGACCTAAGAAAGACCAGCTCGGGACCACTGTCCTCTGTCTGTTCTGCACCCACATTCGCAGCATCATCGCGAAGCAGACCCAAACATGGTCACATCACTTCATTCATTAATATATTAGTGACTAGTTTTTAAAGGCTTTTAGAGAGAGAAATGACACGATTCTACTGGATTTTAGTAAAATCACTCTGGCTGCCAAGTTCAGCGAAACTGAAGGAAGAGACTAGAGGAAGGCAAGAGGGAGCACTCCCATCACACGCGCGTGCACATGTGCACACACACGCCCAGGCACGCCCACAGCACATGCACACGCACCACGTGTGAGTGTCCACTCTCTCATGCCCACCACATCCGCTCTCCCCCACTGCAGGGGTGACACCTCCGCACAGATCACACATAAATCTCAGGCCCCAAAGCCCCCTGGACACCATTTCCTACAGCCCTTCAAGCTGCTGTGTCCTGCTCAGGCTGAGCCCTCAGGCTCCCTCCTGCCTTGTCCATTGTCTTTCTCGGCTCCAGGCAGCCTCTGCTGCCCAGACACCCCTCCACCCTCAGAAGAACCCTGGAAACCTCCTCTGCTGTTTCAAGATGTAGGATTTGACCCGTGCTGCCCTCAGAGCTCCACACCTCACTGCGCAGCTAGAAGGAAGCAGACTGAGGCCTCCCGGGGGCTCAGTTCAGTTTGAGGCACTTGAGACCCATTAAGCCCCTTCCCACAGACCCCTCTGCGTCTCGGTCACTGTGTCAGCTGGCAACTGAGACTCCAACCAGGTCTCCTGACACCAGATGTCACCACTCTTCTATCCTCAGGCTTGCTGGTATTCATATTTCCCCTCCCCCACCTTCAGCCTGTCCCCAGGTCCTGCCTGGCAGTGCCTTCCGCCCCCACCAGGCTGGGCCACTTACTGCCAGCCTCAATGATTTGGTCCACCTTCCAACCAGCATCCAGAATTATTGTTTTGGGACACAAATGTGGCCATGTCACTCCTCTGTCTAAAACCCTCTGTGCCCCCCACTGCCTGCAGATAGAGTTCCCTTGTGGTCTCCTCCCAGTGCAGCTGGGCCAGCCCTCCAGCCTCACCCCCTCCCCCGCTTCACCCACTCTGGCACCTCACAGTTCTCCCACCAGCCTCACTTGCACGGTCCTCTACCCCAACCCCAGACCCCATCACCTCTAGAGGCACAGCTCAGAGGACATCTCTTCAGGAAGCCTGACCTGACCCCATCATGGTTGTCCCGTCACAGAGAAGCCTCTGGCATGACAAAGAGCATTTCCAGAAAGGAACTGCTTGGGGCTGAGACCCACTTGTCCCTGGATCCTCAGAGACTTCCCCCAACACGGGAGGTGGCAAATATGTTGAATGAGCCACGTGTAGCGCTGTCACCAAGCCTGCGGCCCTACCACTGGACCTTCTTTGAGTGTGTCCAGGCGATTCTTTAGGAAGAGTGCTGAGGCATCTGGGCTGGAGTGGGACATCCCGGGGTCACCCCACTAAGCCAACTGTCCCCTCTGCTCTGCAGCAGTCTCAGAAATAGCCACTGGGGGTCAGTGTTGGGCTGTATTGCACAGAACCGGCCCAGCCTGGCACAGGCGGGGAACTCTGCCTGTCTACCCCACCCCTGGGGAAAATGGCTGCCCCTCGTTGGTAGGGGAAAGCTGTTCTGGCAGGAAGGGGGGGCTTCAAGGTGCTGCATCTCCGCGGCAGAGCTGCACTTCTCGAGCCAGTGGCTGGCCGCTCAGTTTCCCAGTTCCCTGTGCAGGCTGATGATCCCCCTACACACTGCCTCCAGGGAGCCCTCTATCCCTGCAGCCTGCAGCTCACAGCCCCTTGTCAGCCCCCTGTCCCACTCACAGACGACGTGAGGCCAGCGTTTGCTCCAAGTGTCCATCCGAGCTGCCAGAGCCCCAGGCTGAAGCCCCAGACCACGTCCAGAACAGCATGGGCAGGGGGGGCCCCTTCCAACATCGATGCCCACTGGGCCTGATCTGCGCAGGCATCGCGCACAGACCTGGGCCCACATCATCTCAACCTAATCCTCTCTACACTGTGAATGAGGCAGGAAAATTATGATCTCAATTTGACAAATGAGGAAATGGAAGCTCAGAGACATTGGATACCCCCATCCTGGATCTCACAGCAAGGAAGAGCTAGACCTCTACTCCTGACCATCACCTGGAGGTGTGGACAGAGACCTCAGGCAGGACCCGTCTCCACGGCATGAGCCGCTGGCCCTGAGGGTCTCCTCCACCCCTGGGAAGGAAGCAGGGGATCTGAGTTTACAGCTGCGCCGGCACCTGCCTACAGAAGGCCAGGCTCCTGAGGGAGGCCAGGGGCTTGGCACTAGAGCCAACCCCTAGCTGTTCCCCCGTAGACGCTGCTGATGGCAGCAGCTCTGCTGGACGCTAAGGTGTCCTGTTGCTACAGGATTGCAGGACAGGCCAGGGAAGCCCCCCGCAAAGCCTCTTGTCCTTACCCACAAAGGGGTAATGGCAACACTGCTCCTGTGTGTCGTGGCACTGCCAGGGCCTGGCACAGAACAGACACTCACACCAGGAGGAGACAGACAAGAGAGTTGGCACAGATGTCTCGGCCTGGTTGGGTGGAGATAGGGAGACAAGGGGTCATCTTCTGACTGAACCCAGGCCTGGCCCTCTGGGCCACACCAGGCAGCCTTCTCTTGGGGGGCAGTGTTCTCTCGTGTCCGCCCAGGCAGCCTCCCTGGTAAATGGGCAGGATATCGCCTTCCAGGGCCCCCAGTCATGCCTGGCCTCCTTCCCAGCACTCTGCCCACTCTGTAAGGCCTCCCCCAGCCCAGGCAGGGCCCTCCCCAACCCCCACGTGCTGCCCCGTGCTCCTCCCACGCAGAGCACCTGACCGCTCCCAGCATCAGGGCCCGCAGGGCCCGCAGGGCCCTCAGAGTGGTGCCAACCAAGCAGGACCCGCTCACTGGCCAGAGGCTGCAGAGAAGGTGTGGGCTGGGGGCAGAGCCCTTGGGGAAGGCGCCCAGAGCTCTGATCCCTGTGGAACAGCCTCGGGAGGTGCAAATGAGACTCAGAGGAAGGAACACGTGCTGCTGCCACGTGCAGACCGGAGGCGGGACACGGAGGTGCATCAGCAAGTCACATGTGCGAGCATCAGCCTGAGGCTGAGCAAACAGCACAGGGTGTGTAAACATGACATGTGTGGGCAAGATGCTGTGAACACAGGGCGTGAAATACACGCATGTTCACCAACACCCGCACTATAGGGATGTGTGCAGCAGCGTGTGACCATGGGGCTCGCGCCTGCCCCGACCACCTCCTGCATCACTGACGTGCCCCCAGCCAGAGACGGTCCCTGGCCAGTGCTCAGACTTCCCCAGCAGAGGGGCAATCTCTCAGTGACCAGTCCGGACAGCCCCCCACAACCACCTGTCAGGACAGAACACTGTGCAATCTGGAATTAACCGGGGGAAGTCCACACACATGTGCTGGGATCTGTGCACACACGGGACGGCGTGTGGCGGGTTCTAGGTTCAGGGCACAAGGTGGTCAGAGCTTCTGAAGCAAGCTCAGGCCAAGCTCTGTCCTCTGAGGCGAGAGGGACAGGAGTGAGCAAGGCCAGAGACCCCTTGCCCAACAGGGCCCATCGTCAGGCCCTAGCAGCTGCTGGCTCAGTCTGCCCTCCCTTGCCCAAGAACTGCCAAGGGGCCTGGCCTTGCTCCAACCTTCACGCTCCTGCATCGTCTGCCCATGGACAGAGAGCTTGGTCTGAGGTCAACTGGTCTGGCCTCTGGAGCATCCAGACCCAGCCAGTCCTTTGGAGGAGGATGGCTGCCCACACTCCCCAGGCCCAGAAACCGCCGAGCAGTGTGGGCAAGAGCCCATGTGGACGGGCAAGCACTGCCCACCTCCAGGGTCATCGCAAGAGCGGAGACCTTGTCTGAGTCCCGACTCCGCGAGAGTTGATTTGAGCACAAATCAGCCTTACCCGTCCACCAACCTTTGGTAAGAATTCACAGACTGACCAGGAAGCCATGCTCATGGATGGCTCCCTCCTGGGTCCATCTCTGGTCCAGGGAACCCTACCCTTGCAGGTACAAGCAGAAGGTGTCAAGGTACATACACACTCCCTCCGCCCACATGTGTGTGTGTTCACATGCACAGACAAGCCCATGACCCTTCCCACTTGAGGCAGACAGGCACCTGCCTGCCCCCTGTCCTGTCCACGCTCCCTAAGTGACCACAGAGGATCCGGCAGGGGACAGGGAGAGGCCTTTCCCCACCCCCTCACACCCACAAACACGTCCTGTGCCTCAAACTCAGGGTGGGGACGCCTCCTCAGTGAAGCCCCCTCTAGACCAGGAAGGCGTGCTCCGGGGGGCTGGAGCCTGGGCAGGAAGGAGGGGCAGCAGCCGCACCCCCGCCCCGCCAGCCTTCCTCCAGGGGTCTGTGAAGGGAGGCAGCAAGCTCTCCCGGCATTGACTCAAACCACCCTCCCAGGCAGGGAAGGACCTGGGCGCCAGACAGCCATCTCACCTCCTTTCCCACGCTTGCATTCTAAGTCAC